CACTGGAGACAGTCAGCTTGCATTTGCAGGCTCTCAAATGGATCCCCTTCAAGAGCCACTTTTCTGCGGGTTTGGCTTTACTTAACAAAGGTATGGAGTGCAGGGGAAAAGTGAGGTTTGCTAACAGATATGCAAAGGTGCACTTATCCCTGGAGGGTGAGGTTCTGGGTGGGTGGAACCAGGTAGAGAGATTCCATTCCCTATTGGTTAAGTTATTTAGGTAACTGGAACCCTCCTGATGCATAAGACAAATAAAGACTCACACTGATGGACACCACCTTGAACGGGCAGACATTTAGTCCTATACCTGTGCTGCTTGTTGTATTGTTTTTAAAATACTTTTAACATGAGTTTATTGCTTTCTTTTTCTTTTCTTTTTCAGTGCTCAATTGATTTCTCTTCCATTTCCCCTGCCTATCTGTATGAACAATATAACCTTGATTGAAATCTATTTTCTTCTATTTTTATTTTACTTTTTTTAGAGCAACTTTTTTTTAAAGCAAAGGGTAATTTATATTATATATTCTCTTCCTTTTTCTTTCGCTTGATTCAGATTTTTTTGTTTGTTTGTTTGTTTGTTTTTGTAATGGCTTAAAGTAAAAGCTGAGATGCCCCAGGCCTGGAACTATTCAAAACTGATCAAAATACAGGTGAGTTACTATACAGTATGATTATATTTGTTTGTTGTTGCTGCTGTTATCCTTTAATATAAACATTTGCTGATAGTTAAGGAAAGGACAGAATAGGGAGTTATGTTACTGCAGAGCCAGGACTGGAAAGGATACACTATGTCTCAAAGCCTGTATATACTTAATTGGAAGTAAGCCCTGCTAAAAAGGAGAGATGTATTTTCAAGTAAACATGTTGAAGCTGCAGAAAGTATAACAGGAAATGAGGTGCAGGAAGAAAAAGAATATGGAATGCAGAATGTCAAAACTGTTGCATTTTACCTTTAGGAATCCTTGCAGTCCCATTTTAATTAGCAGAGAAGAACATGCTTATTTATTTGTATATACACATTCCTTTATGGTGCTCATCTAGATGTACCCCAACAGCCAAATTCCAAATTTCATTGAAGGCAGTGTACTGTGTCAAGCATCTGTGCATGTGTCCATTTTCTCCTTAATTTCCATTTTGGGTACACTCACAAAACCTTTACTGTAAAGATGGTGGTGGGAGGCAGGGAATTTCCCCCCCCTAAAGTGCCCAAGATTCTGTGAAGAGATAATGGCTGGGAGAAAGTCAAAGCAATATGAACCACAGCAATATCAACTGATCACCAGTCTTGTTAATATTCTCTCCTTAAAAAGACCCAAGGTTTTAAATCTATATTTATTTGTCTAGGATTATAAAGTACCTTGAATTTAAACAGGGATAAATTGCTGTTTTCATTGATGTTGGAATGTAAGCAGAAAAAATAACTGGCAGAATGTCTTGATCTGTATGGGGAGATTCTCACCCCCACCCCATGCTCTCTTCCCCCCAAGTGCTCATATGCTATTCCCACAGCATCATATAATGAAAAGGAAAGGAGAAAGACCTCCTCAAAACAGCTTTGAAGTTTTGGGGAATTGATCTTTCAGAAAGCTGCCTAAACCCAGCCAGTTCATTCAAGAATGGTTTGAATAACCACTCTGGGCTCTTCAAAGCCAGCCACATGAATCAGGTTAGAATCAGAGAATCATCGAGTTGTAGAGTTGGAAAGGACCCCTGAGGGTCATCTAGTCCAACCCCCTGGGGTGCAGAAATCTCAACTAAATAATACATGGCAGGTGGCCATCCAACCTCTGTTAGAAATCTCCAAGGAAGGCAGTCCAATTTGTGCAGCAAGCACCTCAACATAAAAAAGGCAGAAAGATTTTCAAATGAAAAAGCTTGGTATTCCAATGACTTGGCTTGATGTATAATGCATGGACCCTTTCAAACATTCATTCCATTATATAAATGAATGGAGGGAGGTTGAGATTGCAGGTTGTAGGTTGAGGTTGTGAACTGCTAGCCCACCTCTGATATTCCCAAGATGCCCATGTTCATAGGAACCTAAACATGCATTGGTTTTCTAGACACACATACACCTAAGCATATGTTCATTTTCTATGCATGATGCATCAGCTGCAAAAATGGAGTGCATAGTTTACAAGTAGAATGCCTACACATGTTTGGGTATATGAATCAATGCAGGAATCTCAACTAAAGCATCCAAGACAGATGGCTTAAAATCCTCCAGTGAAGGAGAGTCCACCAATGTCAAACATCTCTGATAGGAGCATATGCTCTTGTGCGAATGGTGCCTTGAACACATAACAGTTAGAGATTGGGGTCAGGTAGCAAACACGGCTTCACCCCTCCATGCATTCATTTCTACAAGGAAATGGACAACCTTGTGGGGCTTATTTTAGGGGATGACACTGGAGAGGCCTCTCATCAGGAGACTATATATCTGTAGCACTGATTTCAGATACATGGAAACAACTGAAAGTTCAGCACATGAAATATTGTCCTCTCTGAGCACAGAAGACAGCTTTTGGGAAGAAAGCTGTCTTCCTTTCTTTGAGCATATGGTAGCTCTGCCTAATAAATTAGGATATAGCTTGCATTAATGTGCCCAGGAAACATTGAAGATCATTCAGAGTACAGTTTTTAAGTTCACTCAGACCTTTCCGATAGAATTTGATTTGAAATTTGGATGCAAATGTATATATTAATAGTTCTTTACCATCTCTTTTCAAAACTCTCTTGGAAACTAATGCAAGATTGTCTAAAACAGCTCTGATTAAGGTCTATCAAACAGGTATGGTTTAGTACACTTGTTTAATGATCCTGCAAAAAGGAATTTTGGATGTCAGCTCCTTCTGTGGAATGTGCTTTATCACATCGCCACAACACCCATCATATTCTTGTAGCCATTATCACTTTGGGAACCCTCAGTTTGCTTATTACGTAGTTATTGGCTGGGAGCATTATTAATGTCCTCGGCTTGGTTTTCATTCTATTCAAGTTTCATGTACCCTAAAGGTTGGCCTTGGAAAGGGTTAACGCTTTGGGAAGCAAGCTGAGAGTTTTGGGGCTGATCTCACCCAAGACTGGTAGAAACATGCCTAATGAAAATGCATTACAAAGAAGTCAGGTTTGCAGGGAGGAATTTCAGCGGACAGGTTCCTTTTGTTCTTATGAAGTTCCCAAAAACCTCCAAACAAGTCTTAACATACCCAAGGGAAAGGACTTGCAAAAGCAGGTCTGTACATTAAAAGAAAAGCCTTCAAGCATTTTGAAGACCTGTATCAGCACTTCTGTGGTTTAGTAACTCAGGATTTAGAATCTTTGCTATCACAAGATCTCATTATCTCTGCAGGGGAATATTCACAACACAATCTGTTTCTACCAAAGCTACTTTTCTAAACATTTTTGCAACTCAATCCTATCCACCTATACTCAGAATTATGCCTCGCTAGGGATGTATTTCTAAGTAAATGCCAAGCATTTATTTCTTAATGATTTAAAAATTTAAGAAGGAACTCTGTCAGTATAGGGCTTAAATTGGCTTCATAGATCTTGGACCCATTTATTAGACACTATAAGGAACATTATTTGGAAGCATTTAAAAAGAACCCAATCCTATACACATATACTTGGAAGTAAACGTGCATAGGGTGTGAAAGAAAGATGGTGTTGATGCAATTTCCTTGAGATTTAGGAAAAATGAAATCTGTCCTCTGCTCTGGAATGAATGCTCTATAGTACATTTGAGGTTGTTTTCTCTGCTTCTCAGCTTGACCTCTGTGAAATGGTAGGAGCATCACTTTTTTACTTCACAGCTAGATTGTGGATGTAAATTGGACGGCAATCCTATGTACACTTACGTAGGATCAAGTCCCATTAAATTCAGTGAGGCTCACTTCTAAGAAAACCACTTTGAGGGTTGTTTTTTACAATCAAATGTTCTGTCATGAAATTAAACAAATAAATATAGAACACTGGACTGGACTGTTAAATCAGTGATTGGGAATTATAAAATGTTAGTTAAGGTATTCTTAGATGTAAGGTTTTCTGTCCTCCTATGTAAAGTGGAAATATTTCTTTTCTCATGGTGATTTTCCTGACATTTATTTTAACTCATTTTTTCATGCACTTTTTTGGTCCCACCCTTTCTTGTGCTTTTCTATTCTTTTATTTGTATTATTTGGAAAATCAATAAAGATGCACCTTTAAATGGAAGCTGCTATTCAACATCCGAGAGTGAATGTTAAATAAAAGTTTCCACAATTAAGTCAACAAGCTGTGAAATAAAGCAAGCTTGTCTTCCCACAAAGGATGAAAATGATGATTTGCTCTCTTTGAAATTCATTTGAATAGCGCCATTTTAAACTTCACTGTATGAATTACCCTTCTATGTCTGCGAAAACTTTGAATGTTCCCTTGTTCATGAATTTTCTTCCCTTGATTACTTTTCCCTGTAAGATCTTTGGGGTCATACCCACATTTTCTTCTGTATTTCCACAGGGTGTAATAAAACAGCAGTTTTATCTACAGTGGGTTCCTCAGGCACATCCACAAAACAAAACCAACCCCTGTCCCAGGTGTAACAAATTATCTACCACAATAGCAGATTGTGAAAACAATAAAGTAGGTGTTGCTTTCAGTCCATAACTATCCCAATACTTCTGTCCATATCACTCTGTTTGCATAAGACTGTGGCCTGCCTTTTGTCTTACATTGTGTCACATGTCTATTACATTATACACTGAATTCTTGTGCGGCATTTTGGTAGCTTGTTGAAAATACAGAAGTAACAGGATCCATTACATGCTAGACCCTTTAGGCAACTGATGTCCATGTGGACCCCTACCTATTGTGACTGAAAATGAGATACAGTAGTGTGAAAACATCAGCCACCTGAATTTACCCTAAGAGAGAAAAGATTCCAGGCAAGATTAGAAATAATCATTAGGTTTTGCTGGGGGCTTGTTTATACTAAGTGTTATCTAACTATTTGCCTACAGATGTTCATCCATTTCAAAAGTCGGTATTTCTGAATTATTATAAATGTGAGGACAAATGCACAGATGTGAAGCATCTGATCCTCAAAACTAGACGACAAGTCCAACAAATGAATAATAACCGCAAGCTTTCCCAGAGATATTGTAATGATCTCTGCTGCAAAGATAGCATACGGATAATCCTTTAAGTGCTTCAGAATTTCTTGCCTGCTGATGGAGTTCATGACAAAAGGATAAATCTAAAGAGGATGAGGATACAGAGAAAAACAAATCCTCTTCAATGTCCCTGTGTGCTAAACAAAAAGATGATGTACTGGAGGAATAGTTTGAAATGGGGGGGGGGGAGTATCCAAGCATAAAGTATATTAAGTAAACAATAAGGGGGCCTGATACAAATCTTCCGCAACTTGCTGCCCTTCAGAAGCCTTGGGCAGAAATGTGCATCATCCATGATCATTGGCCAAGCTGATGGGAGTTTCCATCTAAAACATCTAGGGAGTGTCAGGTTGAGGGGGGAGAGCTGTACAAATACTGCCTATGATGTTGTTTCCAGTGTTAATTTTCACTCAGCCTGTGTCTGCTACTGACTTTTTTTCTCATGACATGTTTGTTTGCCCCAGTCACCAAGGTACACAAAGAAAGTTCCATGGATTCTGTTGTCCTTCATTCCACCGGAGTCTGTCTCATAACAAATCAGATTTCAGTGGAGTGAAGCACAAGAGGCATGGAGTTGAATCAGCTGAGCATTCACACTGACGCCAGTGAGGAAGACTCTTTAGAGAAGAAAGAAACCTGGTTAGGTGAGCAGTCCCAGCAGAAACTGAGCATGCTGGGGGAAGTGGCAATGAAAAGAAGAGTGGCATAGAGTATTTTAATTGCCTGTTTGCACTTTGAATATATTTGGGGAAAACATTTTGAAAATCTACTGACATCCTGTGTATTATTATTTTTTAAAGTAAAGGTCTGTAAAAGTTTGCAAGCTGCTTCCTTGAGACTTAAATACCTTATGCATTTTGTATTTGAACTTGTCTTCTTCTTGCAATTTGCATTCTGTGAGGGTTTTGTTTGCTTTTCAACTTCACTTTTCCAATTGGGAGGCAACCAAGCACCTTCATACACTTGACTTTCCTTGCTTCAGCACTCTCAACTTTCTGGCAAAACTCTCTTCAAATATGAGGGCCATTTATTTTGTAAAAAAGCAAATGTAAATAAGCTTTACATTGGAGGGCATTTCAGATTTTTCAAGTGGCGCACAAGATGTATAATTTTTAAGGTGTCAGTGTAAATTTTGCAAAGGTTAATGCAGTTAAACATTTTCGACATACACAAATGTCACATCTCCCGCTAATCATTCAGCAAATGTAATTGCCTTTTCATAGCTTTCAACTCCCTGAGACACAGAGTGGGAAAACAAGGACAGGCAAATTTCAAACAGCACCAAATAATGCCTTTGCACTGTCAGCATCCATTATTTGCCCTGAAAGATTTAGTGCTCAGTTCCAAAAATGTATAGGCCTGTATTCTTTTCCCACACTTCCTTCCTAGTCTTAATTTTAGAGCAATTTTGAAAAAACTCAGAAGGCTGCAGCTTTGTGATATTCCTTAGAAACCCAGACCTCAGCAAGAATTCTGTCGTTGCAGACGCCCACTTTCAATTTAATGTGAAGATGTTGGCACTGTTTTATTGAACCCATTGTCACATTGCAGCAGTCCAGCCTCGCATATATTTGTGACAACTAAGCAGTATTACCAATCCTGAACATCCCTCAAAGGCAGTACCTCTGCAGGACCCCGCCCCTGCCTGCCCCAACGATACAAAAGCTCAAAATTAAATAGTCAAAGTTCTCAACTGCTAAATAGAATTAGGCTAGAGCTACACAGGACTTGGACACAGATGCCCAGTATGTACATCGGATCCCTGAAAGCCAAATTTGCCTACTCTAAAGTCAAGCTGGTTCTCACCCATCTAGGTAGGGAAAAGGAACTATAGTCTGTGGTGTATTTGATTCTACGGTGAATCTCAATGGAGTACAGTTCCACACACATTAAATCTGGTTTGCAGAGGGAAGCTGCTCCTGACCAGTGGCAAAGCAGGTATACTGAGTCCTGATTGCATAGACACAATTCTCAGTTGCAGGTATATGTGTGTGTTCCTATATGTGTGCATTCATAGAGATAACATTTCCACAATGTATTTGACATAGACCACCATATTAAACTTACTACAGTGAAATCAGTGGGGATAACTTCTGAGTAATGTGTTTCAGGTTAGGGCATATAGCTCAGTACTCATCTGAATGATCTGACATTAACTGCAATGTCACCTCACACCATGAAGCAATATTTATGTAGTGATGTCTTTGAGTCCATAAAGCAACATCTGGCCCTAATTGTAATCAATGGGTGGTTTTAAAATGCTTGAAATTTCATTTGAAAAGAAGAAGAAATTGATTTGTCTCCGTGTTTCACATATTTACCATTTGTATTCTGGAAAGGTAAAAATCACTGACAATCTGCTTTTAGAAGTGATCTTCTTCCCTCAGCAACCTCCCCTGCCACTGATGATTTGGTATCATCTAAACTCAAGTGCTTTGTACCTTTGAAGACTTTACTTCTAGACACTCATGAGTGGATGGCATAATGTTTGAGAATAGAAGTATCCTGAAAATAATGTAATCTATCACCCTTGTCATAGATTACAATCCACAAACAATTAAGCCACCATACTCAAGTCAGTCACCACAACACACTTCACTGTGCCTTACACTGTGAGGAAATTTTAAGCATTAATTTATTTATTTTTAAATTTCTATACCGCTTTATATTTTTAATAAAAATAAAAATCTCAAGGTGGTTTACAGCATATTAAAGCAATAAAGCAATAGCTGGCCAATGTTCCTCCAGCCTCATGAGGAGCCTCTTCAGTAGGGCTGGGTGAGTCTGGGCCTCGCCCCCTAGGCCAGGTGTAAAGGGCCTTGCAAGTAACCGGCCTTTATGCCCCACAGCAGAGGGATGTTCCTCTGGCCTTATGAGAAGCCTCTTCAGTAGGACTGTTGTGTGTGTCCCGCTCCCTAGGCCAGGTGGAAAAGGACTTGCAAGGAGCAGCCTTCATGCCGCACAGCCGGGCAAAGAATATTCATAGGAATATTCATAATCATGCATTTGCAACTCTATTGAAGGTATATTTTTTGCCATTAGAATCCACACACACAGAGAGAGAATTTGCCTTGAATTATTACAAGCATACAGACAAAAATAAAACTTGAAGAGAAAATATTTGCCTGTTCAAAATGATAAATTGATATTTTGATTTGTGTTGAAGAGTAATATACCTACATGTTTTCAGGTTTTAAAAAATCTCATATATATATAATACTTTTTTAAAAAATCACTCACTTTCTGTTTTAGTCCTTTCTAACATCAGCAGTACCCTTTATGCCCTGTGGATTTTCATCATTTTAACAAAGGTAGCGTTTCACATATGCGTTATCTCCATGACACTTTGGTTTTTTTGTTTTGTTTTTTGCTATAAGGCATCACAAACAGGCTACTTAGGGTCTTACAAGGTTGCCCTTGGAACTGATTTCTAGCGAGGATTAATTATGGGTTTAATCAAAGCAACACTTTGACTTTTGATCCACCTTTTAGTGAAGCAAGATTTGAGAACCAGAGATAAGCACGTACATGACTATGGATAGCATAATAATTTGTATATAATTACTCTCTAGTAATCCTAATGTCAGAGCTCCGTTCTTCCCAGAAAGTGCCCAAGGAGTATCTAAAAAGAGTTGGGTGGAATATAAATATTAACCACAATTAAAAGGAAATTCCTCAAACCAGGTTATTATCATCATAAAAGATGCACTCTTAGCCACTAACATTGTAAAACATGGTAAAAAAAACAAAGGTCTGCTATTGCTGAAGATGCATGTCCACCAGCAGGAGGGGGTGGGAGAGACATTCAATTCTGTTCACATTCAAGGGTGAATGTATCAAAGTTTCACTTTCTGAAACAATATGAGAACTGAAACACAGCCATCCTTCAAAATTTGCAACTATCTTAGTTTGCTATACAGTTCTCCAAAACAAATACATTAGGGGGAAGTGTGCCTAAAAACGAATATACTACTGAAAATAGCATACAAAAGTTCATGGTATTATGTACAGTTGTGTTTATTAGGAGAAATGCACACTGCAATACTGAGGAATTTTCATGTGAACATGTTCTTTTTAAACACACACAAATTGCTGCAGAAATATGAAGAACTGGTTTTTAAGGTTGGAAAAACAAGAAACAGCATGAGTCGAAGCTGACATGTCCTTCCATTCATAGCGACGAGATGCTGACTTCCGTGTTGTTACTCTGTATGGCTGGGACTGAGCTGCATTACTGTTTGCCCAAACAGTCCTATTCCTTACACCCAGCTACTACCAAGTAGATTACAAACCCAGTAGTCCCTTTGCTGTTCTGTTTATCTCTTTGCATGCTTCAAGCGGGCCAGCACAGATGCCCTTAAACAGACCATCCAAATTCTCACTTCTTACTGGTTGCATATATGCACAGTCTCACACACACACACACACACGTGCCCTGTCTCCCCTCCCCTCCACAAAGATGGCTCCGCAATACCTTCTCTGGGGCTTAAAGGGAAGGAGTGGGATTGCAGTCACTTGATCTACTGCCCCATGGAGTCTTAAGGTATCTGCTATTCAGAAAATAGGAGAACTTTTTCTTGGATGGAGTTATTTTCTTAACTTCTGTGTAGATATTGCTTAGGACACAGGTGACTAGCCTCTGGTCCACCAGATGTTACTGAACTTCAGCTCCCATCAGCCCCAGACAAAATGGCCAATGGTCAAAGATGTAATAAATAAATAAAAATTAAAAATTGTCCAGTATCACCGTAGAGACCAACTAAGTTTGTTCTGGGTATAAGCTTTCGTGTGCATGCACACTTCTTCAGATACTGCATCAGACCAACACGGCTACCTACCTGAAGGTCAAAGATGTAGTCCAACAACATCTGGAGGTTAGCTGCAGGTTAGCCATCCCTGAATTAGAGCCAGACTAGATGAGACACCATCCACACAAGTAACAATTACATGAATAGCCTTTAAAATGTCAATAGAAGACACTGGGCAGGGGGGAGATGGAATCCAGATCCAGCCCCTGTGCCTGCTATTTGCA